CAGAGACGGCTGCCGGGAAGCCCGCGCGGACACCGGTGAAGGTGGCGGCGGGGATCTCGACGCTCCTCCCCCTCTTGGAGGCCTGTGGTTCCTTGGGCGGCGGCCCTTGCCAGAGAGGCGACGTCGTCGGGCGGTGGGCGGCGTTCGCAGGGGGTGCTGGCCAGCCTGCCCGGCCGTGCGGGCGGCGGGTGGCTGGTGGAATTCGGCCACGGCGCGAGCTACTTCGTCAGATCTGGAGGTGCGAAATCCCTATTCCCTGCGGCTTCTCCCTCGCCTCCGTGGTGGGCTAGCTTTGCCTGGCTCCGGCGTTGGTGTGTGTTGGTGGTCAGCCAGGGAACCGGGGGAAACCTTGGCCGGTCCGGCCGGCCCGGCGGCGGCAACGCCCAAGGGCGCTACTTTCCTCCATGGGGGCGCAGCCGAGGTCCCCTGCTTTCCACCCCGATCCCCCTGCCCAGGTGAATACCTTTATCCCCGATGAATTATGCGGCGGCGGCGCCTTGCACGTCGTGACCTTGCTGGAGGCGTCGTCAAGGGTGCGGGGCTCGGTCGGGAGGTTATGCAGGTGAGGGATTGCGCTACCTCCTCTGCGCCGTCCGATTCCTGAAGCTTGTCTCCAACTAGTTGGGCTTGGACTGTGGCGGAGTAGCCGGCGAGGTATATCCCAAATCGATGTGGTCATCCCATGTCCACCTTGCGATGCGAGGGCGACATTCTTCCAGCTCTAGGATGAGCTTCTCAAAATCCTGACGGTGCGGCGCCTACGAGCCATGGCGAGGGGGAAGGGTCCCTCTTCGGTGATTGAGAAGGAAGATGTTGGTTCCTCTCTTCGCTAAGTGTTCCTGGAGCTCGGTCCATCCTCGAAGGTCGGCTATGTCCTGATGCGCTGCTCCGTTTCTGCTACATATGATCCTAGTGTGGAGTGCTCGGCCCTTACTAGCTGTATTCATTTGTGGCCTGTGGAGGTTGTAGTGAGTAGTCTTTCCAGTGTTCCCCGTTGTATCGTTCTGACCGTTGTAAGTTGGGTTGTCTGCTGTAACTCCTGGCCGGTTGATGGCTTTGTTAATTCAAAGCCGTGCTCTTCGCGAGCCTTCGTTCTAAAAAAAAGTACTAATTTGATGAAGTGTCGAGTGACCAGTGTTCCATAGCGACGAGGTGTGGTAGATGAAAACAAGAATTTTGCGATCCAAGGAGCATGTGATCATGATATAGCAACTTAGTGAAAAGTCATATTTGTGAGTTTTGAATAAGTATGGAGAAAATCAGGCAAGTAATCATACATGTAGACACGTGCACATATAAAATTTGGTAGAAAATTATGATGTTCTCCGAGCCGAGAAAAATTAATTGATGAAGTTACTATAGATTGAGCTTTAGTAATTAAGTTACACTTATGTAATGTAAAAATGTCTTGAAGTTACAGTAAGTACAGGCCGCGGATGATCACATTATTTTACCAAAATTCACATGTATGTGACCCTATATCTGTACTCTTCATGTATGTTTTCTTTTCACAATTTTTAGAAACCGACTTTTGGCTAAGTTACACATACCATGATAATAAGATCTTAGAATCCATTTGCTATTTCTGTGAAAGTTGATAGATAAGCTAATTGTCAAGGCCAGGGTCTCAAACAACAGTTGCCGCGAGACCTGGTTTTCGCGTTATGCAACTTCAACGTATGTTTTTGTACATAATTATTTAGTTGATGCAAAATCCTTCACTTCGATTTCTTCTACATATACAAACACAAATTATTACGGAAAAACTTTGTTTTTGACACTCTAGATTTTGCTCACTTTGCTTATGCCATTCTAGAATTTGATCTATCACTTTTGTCACTCTTAGCTTTTGACAATACATTACAAATGCCATTTCGTGGCAAAAGCAATAATTTTTCATTTTACTTTTGCCACTCTTAGATTTGACAATGTATCAGAATTGCCAATCTAAAATTGTTGCTTTTGCCATGGAATGGCAATTGTGATGTATTGTCAAAAACTAAGAATGACAAAAGTGAAATGTCAAATTTTAGAGTGGCAAAAGTAAAGTGGTCAAAAGCTAGAGTGGCAAAAACAAAGTTTTCCCAATTATTACTCCCTCCGTCTGAAATAGCTTGTCTCTCATATGAATGTATCTAGCATCAAGTTAGTGCTAAATACATCCATTTGAAAGACAAGTTTGGGACAAGATTTTTCGGATGGAGGGAGTACTCTTCACCTAGCCAGCTAGCCATGCTCCGAAACCTTCACCTCCAGGATATACAGGAAGATTTCAACATCTGAATTTTATGACCAAATTCAGACGCATGGTTTGGTGCCCTTTGCCAGGAAAAATCACACCTGGCGTTCGGGCCGCGCCAGGTGTGGACACCCCAAACCAAGATTTTGTCCATGGGGGGACAAACCGCGCCTAGCCGAAGACTGCCTAAACCGCAGCTGGCGATCGTATTCGTATCCTCTTGAAAAGAAATTCAGCTCTTGGCTTTGCTTCCGACCATGGACGGCATTTTTCAAAGCGGACCAGCCGTGGCGAGGGCTACTTTTCAACGCCGGTTAGCTAGCTAGCTAGCTAGTAGCTAGGCTCTTCTATAAAATCCGGCATTGCTCGCGTTGCTCTCTTGCCAGTTGCCACCTTTGGTTAGTCGTGTCTGCTCCTCCCAGCCCTATAAATACACCCAGGAGCTCCATTGTTTCTTGCCTCCTAGAGCTACCTCTTGCTGCTAGCTATTGCGACCACGCGCCAAGAGACTCTCTGAATCAAGAGGCTCTCAGCCGACCAGTCCAAGGCTCCCGCATCGACCGATCATGCCGACGAACATGATCTCCAAGTATGTACTTACAATCGCGCTTTTTCGTTGTGTGCATCGACTGGTTGTGTGTAATCGCTTTTTCGTTGTGTGTAATTGATGTTTCCCTTGTTTTGTTTGATCTGATCGTCCAAGCAGGGTGCTTGAGAAGGATGTCCTTCCACTGGATGTTGAGCCTCCTGCAAAGAGGGGACCAGGTACTTACTGTTTGATCCTTGTAGCATTAGCAGTAGTACTCTTGCCATCTCCGAATGTTTGGCCATCTCTGAATTTGTGCTTGTGCATCCTAACAATTCAGCCTCGCGGACGAGCGTGCGTCGCAATCCAAACATGGAGAAGCTTCAGAACGGCTACTTATTCCCGGAGGCACGTACAGAAGATTTAGGGATTTCACTGGCCATCTGAGCATGCACGAATGTTCTTCACTCACTAACTAATATGTCATCCTTTTGGTACGTGGTTCAGATTAGCATGAGACGTGAAGCACACGAGAAGAAGTACCCGGACGCCAAGGTCATCAGCTTGGGCATCGGGGACACGACCCAGCCCATACCAAGCATCGTCACTTCGGCCATGGCCGAGGTATATATACTACTCATACATCCTTCCATATATTACTTCCAACACCACCAACATGTAGTAGAAGCTAAATTCCTTTTACCCTTGAACATGCGTACGTATATATATGAATGCACAACCACATGATCGTTTTATAGCAGAAATGGCACTACATCAAATCTAAACGAGATATATAACCCTCTCACATCATATCTCATTGGATTTAATTCTTATCGTAATCTTATCATAAAGGCATCCACGTACGTACCCCTGCAGTGCTAGCCAAATACAACACGGGAGCTGATTAATTAGTCGAGTCTATTTTCATCCTCAAAAGTCTATTTCATGTGCAAATGCCCAATAATTGCATGGATATTTCTGACGATCTTTGTACAAGGCATACATATGTATATCATAAAGGGAATGGTTGGCAGGAACCTGGATAGCTAGGTTAAATTCCTGGTACTGCAACGGCCAAGATAATTCACCAACTACACTAATTAACTACTAGTACTATATAGAGTATATACATGTCATTGGCCACCAAGACCATATTGTCCATCCTTGCTCTGCATCCCATCATCAGTAGTCCTCTGCCGAATGCTCCAAACAATTTTTATAGATACTAGTATTAATTAGGGTGACATATCTGATCCTCGCTGGTTAACTACATGTATACACGTGCACAGAAGACCTTTCTCCCAAGCAGAGAAGGAGACCACGTGTCGTACGTCGTCGTGATAGACAGCAAGTGCAACAGTGCAAGCCTAGCTAACTAGATTCTGAAGCTCCATCATACAACAGCATCAGATTGGACTTGTCAAACCCTTATCTCCAATGGCAGTCTCTTTCTTTACATGCTGCATACATTTGTCTGCTTCCATGCCTACCATGCAATGCAACCTTTCTTTCTTTGTCAAGCCTGCCCGCACCTTTGATTTTCCTCGTCTGTGCTGCCACAAACCCCCTAAAATTGGAAGTGGATACGAGAAGATTATTTAGGTGTACTTGCATCATTCATCTCTGATCGGGTCCAGGAGATACTATATCACAGGCACGGTAGGATAAGGTGCCTGCCACTGCATGTGCACGGCTGCTCTATGTAACTATGCATGTGTATAAGCGGTCCTCGTGGACTAGTCTATGCTACCAGATTTGTGCTCGATCTTTAATTTGTGATGATCGATCGCATGCTTGTTGCACTACATCTGCGCCTGGCCAACCCTAATCCTGGAATAAGTACGCTGAAAGTGCTTGCAAATCTCGTATTACTACTGATCAGCTAATGCATGGCTGTGTCCAGCAGATATACACTGCATTTTATCATTTTATGTGGCCGGCCATGCTTGTTCTGTTACATCACACAACGAAAAGGCGACGACTGAGAACCGACAACAGATTTACGCTTTGCTTGCTTGCGCTGCTTGACTTTGATACTTACTTCTACGTGGCTAGCTGAAATTGACCAACAAATTTGTTTCCAGAACAGTTTTGGCTGAAGGATTAACTGTTCATGGCTTACAAAATTTCCTCCTATTCTTGCAGTACGCGCTTGCGTTATCAACTCCCGAAGGGTACCAAGGCTATGGGCCAGAGCAAGGCCAGAAGGTAATTTATTAATCTGCAGTCTGCAGTAAAATACTCTTTTATTTACCATCATACTGTTCTTGAAGAAAAGGCTTCTAAGTTCTAACCGTAACAAGAGATGATGAAGCGCCTCAGAAAACTAACACATGCATGTGCATGCAGAGTCTGAGGAAGGCCATCGCTGACGTAGTGTACCCAAACATGGGGATACGAGACACCGAGGTGTTCATCTCCGACGGAGCGCAGTGCGACATTGCGCGCCTTCAGGTTCAGCAAACCCACCGGTTTCCATGAACGATCGAGGTTCGGTGTTCCAAGTAAATGTAAAAACCTCACCTTGTTTCTCCATCCTTGTGATGCAGATGATGTTCGGGCGGGACGTGACCATCGCCGTGCAGGACCCCACGTTCCCGGGGTACGTGGACAACGGCGTGATCATGGGGCAGACGGGGCCGGCGGCGGTCGACGAGGAGTCCGGCGGCAGCCGGTACGCCGGGATCGAGTACATGCGGTGCGCGCCGGAGAACGCCTTCTTCCCGGACCTCTCGCGCGTCCGCCGCACCGACGTCATCTTCTTCTGCTCGCCCAACAACCCCACGGGCCACGCCGCCTCCCGCGACCAGCTGCGGCAGCTCGTCGACTTCGCGCGCCGCAACGGCTCCATCGTCGTCTTCGACTCCGCCTACGCCTCCTACGTCTCCCCCGGCGCCGGCGGCGACGACGGCGACAAGCCGCGGTCCATCTACGAGGTGCCGGGGGCGCGGGAGGTGGCCATCGAGATCTCCTCCTTCTCCAAGTTCGCCGGGTTCACGGGGGTGCGGCTGGGGTGGGCCGTGGTGCCCGACGAGCTGCTCTACGCCGACGGCACCCGCGTGGCCCGGGACTTCGACCGCGTGGTGACCACCTGCTTCAACGGCGCGTCCAGCGTGGCGCAGGCGGGCGGGCTGGCGTGCCTGGCCACGGAGGAGGGCCGCGCCGCCGTGGCGCGCGTGGTGGCCGGGTACAAGGAGAACGCGCGGGTGCTGGTGGGCACCTTCCAGGCGCTGGGCAAGGAGGTGTACGGCGGCGACGACTCGCCCTACGTCTGGGTGCGCCTCTTCCCCGGCCGCCGCTCCTGGGACGTGTTCGCCGAGATCCTCGAGAAGACGCACGTCATCACCGTGCCGGGGAGCGGCTTCGGCCCCGGCGGCGAGGGCTTCGTCAGGGTCAGCGCCTTCAACAGCCGGGACCGGGTCGTCGAGGCCTGCGCCAGGCTCACCAGCTTCCTCGCCTGAACCCTCCGTCGACCGTCGTACGTCTCGTATCGTGCAGTGGCGCAGCACCTTTTTGCTTACTCATTCATGCATACGCACGCACGTTCGTACAATAACGCTGCGAGATACGACGACGCGTTGACACGTGAGGATACATACAGGCTCGTGCTGATCAACTACGTTTATGTACTGGACAATCATATATGTATGCTCTAATGAGAGTGCTCATTGGTTAATATACGGATGGAACAATAATGGGAACATATATATGGTCTAAATAAACGCACTCGTGTTCTCAAAGAGAGTGTGTGTTTACAGTTTACACTTACATATACTGGTACACGAATCCCTGAAAAGAAAAATACATCTACTGTTACACGAAGCAAGCAAGCAATACGAGTGTACAGAGATAGATTGTTTTCAGATCCACGACCAACACCTCAAGAGACCTGGATCTTATTTTGATTCGGACAAACAAACATCATTTTGCGTTGGTAATCCCTTCGTTTTCAGTTTCACTTTCCTCTTCACTTTCTTCGTCCTCGCTAAGGTCCAAGTGGTTCATGTTCTCTTCCAGAGGGGGCAAGCCATCGTCAGATTCAGAATCTGATCCTTCCTCTGTGCTTCGGTGTGGTTTATCTGCCACTGTGATGCACAAATAACAACAAAAGTAAAATCAATGTCCGCAGAACCAATCTTAGCACAATTTGCGTATGGATAGATTTTTGCCAAAATTCTAATGCTCTGAGATGCAATGTGGTTGTTACCGTTTACAGGTGACTTTGAAACACTAGATGCGCTTGACAGCCACGAGTTCTGCACGTTGATTATCTCGGTGCCATTTTCACACTTGGAGTATGCTTTCAGCAGATCCCTGCACATTATTACAAGGGAAATGGTGTGAAAACCTGACCTAATACATTACGTAAATGAAACATGTTCTGTATGAAGAATTCAGGCTAGTTAATGTGAAGGGTAGATAGTGCACAATTTGGGTATTGCATTCAAACTAAGATGATTGAATGCTGGATAAACTAAATATGCAGCAAAGTGCCCTATCGTGGCACCATCACTGATTGCTAGTGATTAGGTCAGCAGTTAGCATGTATGACCAGAAATTAATTTGCTTCATCTATGTAATACTAACAATCATTGGGTTTTGCGTCTTGCAGGACAATGGTACATTCAACCATCTCATTGCTTACACTACCCATAAATAAGTAGAATGGTGTACATAGTCTAAACTTCATTACAAACCTACATGTGATACAAAAAAGTAGTTAGTGGACTGACCTGTTAAGTGATAAGAATGAGTGACCCCACTTGAATTTCGCAAGCAGCTGTTCTCCTGTCTCTTCCTCCCCACTGCGAATATAGTTATAACATAAGCTAAAACCATGGCAGAAAATAACTAGCACTATCCTGAACCACGAATTCACACGCTGGATATGTCACACCATAGATTCAGACCTACTCCCTCCGTTCCTAAATACAAGTCTTTTTAGAGATCCCAATGCGGACTACATACGGAGCAAAATGAGTGAATCTACACTCTAAGATATGTCTATATACATCCGTATGTAGTTCTTATTGAAATTTCTAAAAAGACTTATATTTAGGATCGGAGGAAGTACAATTTAACTGAACATTTGGGAGAAAGTTTAGGCACTAAACCAGTTCGTCAACAACAAAATGCCCAAAACTGTCACATCTCAAAAGCCTAGAAGTAATATCATAGCTCAAAGCACCAACTTATGATTTTTTTATCTACATCAATAGCTTAACAAACAATTCTAGATAAGTGAGGCTAGAAAATTTACCATATTATGAGGGCTGCTGACAAAGCTTCCACACAGGAAAGCTGACATGGCCGGCCATAATTTACAGGGTTTGCTGCTACCAACCATGGCACTGCAAACAGTAGAATAAAACATACAATTTAATGAATCCACACAGATCTACAAGAGGCAAAGCCTTGCGACAGGAACTAATTATGAACCTAATTTTGGTTAAAGGGAAACAAGGCAAAAAAAGACTTCCTATGAAAGCATGCCAAAGTTATGTTCTAAAATATAAACTGAAAGAGCAGGGAGAGTCTGGAACTTTGACTCGAAGGGATGCATGACCCAATGATAAATTTACAAATAACAACTAGTTAACCATCTTACTTGTCTGCTATGTGTAGTTCATGCAAAACAGGTATGAGAAAATAATCCCACATTTCTAAATCAAAATACAATGATACACCTCCTTAGTGGATTTACTTAAATACGATGATCTTACAGAGACGAGGAGCACCACAACGGAGTTTCACAAAAGGGACATCATCTAAACGTGCCCAAGAACAATCAACCACGGCCAATCCTTTTCGTTGCACGATAGGATGATCTTCCTTGGACACACAATGTGTCCCAACAGGGCTGAAAGCAAAAGAAGGAAAACAATCAGCTGGAGTAAATATGTATCTCAAAGGCCAAGTTTACATGAGCATGTTTAGTTTATTTTACAAGTTTTACAGGATTACCAAACTGAGAGAAATCACAAAACTTAGCTTCACACAGCTTCACAGTAACCAACGCTTTAGAAACTTATATAGGATAACCTAACTGAGAGAAATCAGAAAACTAAGCTTCAAAGAGTTTCAGATGATTCGCATATCTAATGGATTACCTGAGAACAACACCACCAAAACCATTCGTAACTCGCAACTCCTGCAAGACAAACAACAAACTTGTTAGAGAAAGCATGTCGTAAGAAGAGTATAATTTACTAAAAGCATAGAAGAATCAGCTTGATGATATTAACTGACCTTGACTCTATACATGTGCATGCAGTATGTGTAGTTTACTTTTTCTTATTTTCTATTTTAGCAGGTACCTCGGTTTTGAGAGGAGGGAAAGAGTTTTGAATTTTAGATGTTGTGAACCAAGTGGTGCCTTACCTTTAACAGCCCAAATCTTGAAAGCTTGCGACCAGTGCATCTTTTAGCATCGCATTGCCCAAAGTCCTATAAATAAACACAAAGAGCTTACACAGACTGTCAAATGAGCAGCATAAGAAGAATTGAAAACATCATACCTACCCACATTGCAAGCTGAATTTTTGGGCTATTAGATTCCTCTTCGGCGTTGTCTGGAAAATCAAAATAGCATTATCAATACTAAGGTTTCAGGAATGTTGTAAACTGTAAAGCAATTTCATGAAGCTCACGAGTCCCAATATGGATTTGACCGCAGCCTACACTGTTTATATAACTGCGACGTTGCATCCAATAAGTAGTACCACTATAGTTTATGAGCTACTCGTATTAAACTCCAATAAATTGTAACCTATGAAATAACTCCGGTCAATAAATGAATGGAATTCAGGTGGCATCTCAATTTACGAGCGGTATATTTTCGTCTAAACGCATCTCAATTTCACATAGCAATTTGTCAATCATAAGCCTGTTTAAAAGCAAGAGCTGTCCATAAACAACCGGGAAGTTCCAGGGAATTTGTACCTTCCTGCCTTGGAAGTGATGTCCCAGGAGCATCATCGCTGAAATTGAAGATAAAAGAATGTTATTTTACTCCCGTTTTTTTTTTCTAGAATATGTTTCCAAATTCGCAACTTCAACTGAAGCATACATTTCATCCTCTCCGCATCACTGCGATCAGCTAAACACGAGTGAAACCTAGTCTAACTGCTAAAGCCACGGCCCGAAAATTCGAGCAAAATCCTACAGGCCCTTAAGCAGAGACCTAGAGAAAGGCAGAGCTCTTTGGACTGGAAACTAACTAGCACTCGGAGGAAGTGGAGTTACCACGAGGCTTCTTGCTTGGTGCGGCGCGAAGAGGAGGAGGAGGACGACGACGAGGATCCACGCCCGCGCCTATTGCGGTGGTACCCCATCCTGGAAGACTTGCCAGCGGCGAACCCCCCTCTTCCGGCGGCGGTGGCGGCGGTGTTTGGCTCGGGAGAGAAAGCCCTGAGCCCCTGAGAAAACTTCGGTGGAGCCCGCGTATAGCCTCTCTGCGCGTGGGTCCCTTAACACAGTTGGGCTGGGCGGGGTCGGGCCTACGAAAATGACCACGGAAGTTGGGCTGTGGGCCCAATTTAGCAGGCCGCAGTTCTACAGCCCATTCCACCGCAGAGGCCAGAGAGCGCTCTCGCCGGAAGAAATGGGGGAATCTGGACCGTCGAAGGCACACGCATCCGGCCGTCCATGCTCCCGGTTCCCCTCCTCCTCTCCGTCCCGTCATATCAGGTGGACGCCGGCAGCCGGAAAACCCTAGCTAAACCCCGTCCCTCCCAATCCCCATTCACGAGAAAGAACCGGCGAGCGGCGGCGGCGGCGAGGATGAGGAAGAAGGTGGACGAGCGCATCCGCACGCTGATCGAGAACGGCGTGCGGCAGCGGCAGCGGTCCATGTTCATCATCGTCGGCGACAAGTCGCGCGACCAGATCGTCAACCTCAACTACATGCTGGCCAAGTCCCGCGTCAAGTCGCGCCCCTCCGTGCTCTGGTGCTACCGCAACAAGCTCGAGATCAGCAGCCACCGGAAGAAGCGCGCCAAGCAGATCAAGAAGCTCATGCAGCGCGGCCTCATGGACCCCGAGAAGGCCGACCCCTTCTCCCTCTTCCTCGAGACCTCCGACATCACCTACTGCATGTACAAGGACTCGGAGAGGGTCCTCGGCAACACATTTGGCATGTGCATACTGCAGGTATGATGATGGCTTCAGAGGCTGCGGTTTCGCTGTTTTGCGGGGATGTTGCTTGCCTGTGGTGCTCTGCCTGAAACTGACTGTGTGTTTGCTCTCTGCAGGACTTCGAGGCGCTGACGCCGAACCTTCTGGCCAGGACCATTGAGACCGTTGAGGGCGGTGGTTTGGTCATCCTGCTGCTCTCTTCGCTCTCCTCGCTGACCAGTCTCTACACGATGGTTATGGTGAGCTCATTTTTCTGTCGCGCGTTCGTTCGCTATTGCTGCGTGATCCAATTTCATTTGATTCAATGCTGTTGATTAGCTTCTTT